TTTGGGTAAGTGTAGGAGGTGTGGCCTGGATGTAGGAAGTATGTTACTGGGAATGGGCTTTGAGGTTTTAAAGCCTTGTACCATTCTGAGTTCTCTTGAGGAGTTACAGAGAGGAGTGGAGGATGAATATGCTCGAAATGCATATAAAACAATATGATACTGAAACACACACACATATAATAGGGTCATAATAAGTCAAAAAAGCATATTTCAGAAATATTTTATATAAACATATACATGTACACAAATATATAGTTTTAGTGTTGTTCATTGATTTGTAAATACAAAATAAGACATAAATAACCAAACTCTCATCAATAATGGACAGAAGTAGACAGAAATTTCTGACCTGCCCAGTCCCGCAGTCATTCAGCCTCAGGCATACAGAGGCTTATATTAATTATAAACTTTTTAGACTATTGCTCAGGTTTATTACTAACTAGCTCATACAACTTAAATTCACTCATAATTCTTGTCTATGTTTATCCACATGGCTTGGTACCCTTTCTTAGTAAGGCATTTTCATCTTGCTCTGTGTCTGGCTGGTGACTGTGTCTTTAATCCTCCCAGAATTCTCCTAGTTTGGTTGACCTGCCTATACTTTCTGCCTGGCTACTGGTCAATCAGCAGTTTATTAAATCAATACAAATGACAAATCTTTTACAGTATACTGTTGAAGGGAGCACGGGCCCTTTGTTCATCCCAGCCACCCGGCTAGCTTACACCCAAAATAACCACACAGAAATTGTATTAATTAAATTACTGCTTGGCCCATTATCTCTAGCCTCTTACTGGCTAACTCTCACATCTTGATTTAACCCATTTCTAATAATCTGTATGTTACCAGGAAGTCATGGCTTACCAGGAAAGATTCAGCATGTCTGACCTGGCATCTCCATGGCAGCTCTCTCTCTGACTCTGCTTTTCTTCCTCCCAGAATTCAGTTCTGTCTTCTCCGCCTACCTAAGTTCTACCCTATCAGGCCAAGCAGTTTATTGATTAACCAACGAAAGCAACACATAAACAGAAGAACCTCCTACACCAGTGTACAAGAGCACTATCCCACAGCATAGGACCTATCTAAAACTACACTTTAAAGGATCTACACTATACCATTATTTGCAAATAGCAAAATGTATATATGACAGCATGCATATTAAGGTCATATGTAAAGCTTTCTCCATTTGTGTGCTATCTATCTCTCTGTTTCTAATGTCCAAACATATATTGTAACTATAATGTGATTAGGAGTTCTGGCCCCAGAGCACATTGCCATGGTTTAAATCAAATTTCTTAGCCTTTCTAAGTATTATTCATCTTTCTTGTACATAAAATATAGTAAGGAGAGCAACTTCATTTTTGGATTAATAGTTACCAGTGAAGCAATATGAAAATGAGTAGCATAATATGTCATACAAAGTAGTTCCCTCACAAAGCTTATATATTGGTATTAATACTGAATATAAATATAAATTTTTATTATTGGAAGGAGTTAACAAAAATTATCGTTCCTTTCTATTTCCATTCTCCTCATCTCCACTCTGCTCTTCTGACTTTCATCTTATTCTATTTTTATAACTTCTATCCAAATTTTCATATAAAAAAACAGGAACAAAATATCCTCCTACCCTACATGGCATTCAAGAATTCCATTATCAGATCCTTTTAATTCAATGACCGGATAGCCTCTGAGTCCTGAACATGTGAAAACTTGTAACAATGAATGGGGCCGGCTTGTTGGGGTTTCTGTCCTGCCCAGTTCCCGGCAGCTGTTTAGCCCAAAAGAAAATCACACAGAGATCTCTATAAGTTATAAAGCTGATTGGCCCATTAGCTCAGGGTACTTATTAACTCTTGTAGCTTATATTAACCCATTATTCTGATCTATTTTTGCCATATGGCTCTGTACCTTTTTCAGCTGGCATATCACATCCTGCTTCCTCGGTGGTCTGCGCAGGACTGGGAGGAATCAACTTCCTCTTTCCCGGAATTCTCCTGTTCTCATTGCATCATTTCTACTTCCTGTCTGGTTTTCCTGCCTATACTTCTTGCCTGGCCAATCAGAGTTTATTTAAAACATGATTGACAGAATACAGACAATTCTCCCGCACCAAAACTTTATCCTCTGACTTTTTTCTCATAAAAAAATTCTCTAATAAAAATTCTTTCCTTCCTGTTTGAGGCATAATACTTCTGTTCAAAAGTCTTTTCCTTTCCTACTTTAGGTCCCTAGTCACTGGCCCTTGATGGCACTCCTATAACTTTATCTTGGAATATTTGTTTCACTCTCAAACCCTCCCAGGATCCTTCCTTGTTTTTACTGAGAGAGTGTAATACCTATACAAAGTACTATAGCAATAAGCACCATACTAATTAGGAATGTTAGTTATTTACTGAAACTGATTTTCAGCTCTGTATCATTCAGGTAAAACATGGAGCTTGTGGAAAGAAAAATAATTATCTTTTAGAGGAAGGCAAGTGTGTACCTCAATCATCTACCATAGTCTTTTGGATTCAGCTTCATCAACTGTAAACATATAAGACAGGAGAAAACACATAAACTAAACATTGCTCTTTTTTTCTCTTCTTGTTTCATAGGTATTAATGGTTTGGCTTTGGGAACAAAGATTATACCTTTAACCACAGAGTAATGGATAAAGAACATAGACTTTGCACCTTGGTCCTCTGCGCCTTCAGTGTCTACACACACACACACACACACACACACACACACACACACAATCATACTATCACTAAGGTAAATATTCTCAAACTCTTTTTCACTGTCTAAAGAATTTACAGACACAAAATAGGCATGCTCAATCATGCCCATCAGCCATACAAGGTAATGCACTGATATGATTTCAGGAACCTGAACCCTGAACTCCAAGTCCAGCTCTTGATGAGGAGATTATCCATCACCTTTTAGCTCAGCTCTTGAGTAGGGATAGATCATAAACATATATAATATGGAGAGAGGAGAGAGAGAGAGAGAGAGAGAGAGAGAATATGGAGTTTTCAGCTGTAAACAATCAAATTATGGCATTTGTAGAAAATGAATTTAACTGCACATCATGATATTTAAATATCATAGGCCAAACTTAAAAGGGCACATTTGCACATTTTTATACTGCATGGTTCCTCTCATTTGACCATTGTTCTGGCTACTTTTTATGTCAAATTGACACAGCCTAGAGTAATCTGAGAGAAGGGGGTCTCCACTGAGAAAATGTAATTATAATAATCGTCTGTAGGAAGACCTGTAGGGCATTTTCTTAATTAGTGATTGATAGGCCCAGCCTATTGTGGTTACTATCACTCATGGTCTGATGGTCCTGGGTTCTATAAGAAAGCAGTCTTGGCAAGACAGGAGGAGCATGCCAACAATCCGTACTCCTCCATGGCCTCTGTATCAATGTCTGCATACAGGTTCCTACTCTAAGTTCCTGCCTTGACTTCCCTCAGTGATTGACTTAGAAGTTGGAAAGTGAAATCAACCCTTTTCTCCCCAAGTTACTTTATGTCACAGTGTCTTATCACTGCAATAAAAACCCTAGCTAAAACAGACATCCTAGATTTTATACACCATATACCATATCATGTGACATGAAAGCTGAAGTCAAACTGAGGGATGGAATAGGATTGGCAAAAAGTAAGAAGAGGGTGTAGGGAAAAATATGGCCAAACTACAATATATTTAAATTAAAATGACAGTATAAAACCATCACTGTGTATAATCAATACATGCAAATAAAAGAAAATATAAAGACAATAGGACATTTGGAAAGAACAATCTTTCTAGCTGGGTGTGCCAGCATATGCCAGTTATACGAACAACTGGGAATTGGAGGAAGGAAGATAAGATGTTTGAGGTCATCCTGTTCAATTAAGGACTCTGTGTCAAAACAAAAACAAAAAGAATGATCAAACCAAACAACCAATAAACACAAAGAACATGGTTTCTGCTGCAGAGTAGAAACTGTTCCAGGAGGAAAACTGCTTTGGAGATCAGACAGTGGGACTGGGAAAACCTTCTTGGCCAGATGAGTGCTAGTTCACCCTCATACACCAAAAGCTTGTTTGTAAGATTGCTGATAAAGTTTTGTTGGCCCCCAGGGACACATTGTCCATTGTCTCTGTGCATGTGCAGATGCCTCTCCAGCAGCAATCTTTTTTAGCTGTGTCTGTGAACCTCGTAAAATTGCTTTTCCTGGCTTTCTCCACTGTGCACTATCACTGGCCACTGCTGCAGGATGCAGCAAGACTTTTCCCGAAAAAACAGATCCCTGCTTTCTACAGAGACAGGCCTGGGGCACGAGCCCGACTCCCACACTCAGCCTCTCGGTAATGGTGTGCGCACACACCCTGTGACCCCACAGCAGAGGCTGCTTTCATTTGCAGTTTCCTGGTGGATGTGCAGCTCTAAAATGGAATTGCAGTTCCTCTAGGTGACAGAGGAGGGGCTTGTGTTCTTCCACCAAGTTCTCCCCTTGTCTGCTAGCAAGCTGTTGGGTACCCTGCAGAACAGAGGACCTTCCATGAGTCTCATTCTGGGAGCTGACTGAGCACACACCTGTGCATCTCTGGGACAGGTTCCTCTATGAATCAATCCCCAGAGACCAGTCAGGTGACAAAATAAAACCTGTGTCAGGAACTGTCCTTCCTAGAGGCATATAGTGCACCAGATCACACTGAGGGTCCCAGGAGAAGCAAAGTCCCCAAGCCCTGTGTGACAGACAGCTGAAGGCACTCGGGAAAAGGGCAGGCTGCCACAGACTTCCTGCTGGGACATGAGGCTTGGTTGAGAATGTGAGTTTGGATCTTAAAGGACTAGCGGGCCACCCCCCCCCCCATGCCCACATGAAAATACATCTGCAAAGGAGCCAGCACTGATGCTGTCAATGTCTTCCCCTGTGCAGATTAGAAGGGAAGAGTACGTGTTGTCACTGGGCATGGAAGTTCCTCCTATGGGTCAGGATGCAGCTGTGCTTCTTGTAGGTGGTGAGGATCAAGGCTACACAGCTGTGCACAAGGGGACAAGAGGAGGTCAGCTCCAGTCACCGGTCTAGGCAACTATTGGGCAAGCACACACACAGGTGGGGTGTCATCCTCTCTCAACTGATACCTTTGGTACTCCCGTGAGAGTGGTACACTGTGGAGGTGTGTGACCACATGGGTGTGTTGTCCATCAGCTATAGCTTCTCACGGGGAAGGCAGTACTGTAGGTCCCCACCATACCCTCTCTCTTTCTGTTTGTGCGTGTGTAGTGTGTGTGTGTGTGTGTGTGTGTGTGTGTGTGTGTGTGTGATATCTCTGGTGTCTTCCACAGTCACTTTCTCCATTATTGTTCGAGACTGGGTCTCTCACTGAACAGCCCTGGGGATCCTCTTGACCCTGCTTCCCCAGTGCAGAGTCAAAGATGCCATCAGCAGGTCCAGCTCTTATTTGGGTGCTGGAGACTGAATTCAAGTCCTCAACCTTGTGCAGTAAGCACTTTACCAATGGAGCCATGTCTCAAGAGCCTGTCTGACATTTATTAGACCAACACGCAGTGGTGGAAAAGGTTCATCTTCCTGTCAGTTCTCTGTCTCCCTTCGACTCTTTCTGCTTCTTCTCAATTGCTTCTTCATCTTTTCGTCTTTCCTCTCTGGTCCGTCTGCCCTCTCCTCCTTTCCTCTTCCCTGTCTCCTTTATCTTCACTTCCCATTTCACTTTCATTCCCTCTCCAGCCCAAACCTCCTCCAGGTGTCTACTTAGGATTCCACTCTACCAACCACCTCAGTGCTCCTGATACCTCTGCTTGGCCTGGCACGGTGGAGGCTTCCTGAGTCATGTCTGCTCTTTGCTAAAACATTTTCTTGGTCCACTCAGAAAGTCTCACTCTGACCCAGCTGCCAAGAGTCCAGCAACTCCAAAAATCCAAAGATCAGTGTTAAAGTAATCCTGCAAACTTCGCCGGCCCTTCTACAACCAGCTGGTGAGTCACAGATTCCCCTAATTCTTCACTATTGGTTTTGAGTCATTCTGTGCTGCCCTTGAGTGCAGCCGCCATTCTCTCCAGCTGTCCTTTCAGAGCCTCCAAGATTAGGATGTGGTGGCTAATACCAGTAATCCCAGAACTTGAGAAGTGGACAACAGAGGACCAGGACTTCAAAGTCATCCCTGGCTACACAGTGAATTAAGGGTCATCTTGGACAACACGAGTCCCTGTCTCAAAATTAAAATAGGGTTTGATTGAGGGGTGGGGAGAACATGAGATATTAAAGTGAAATGCAGGCAGATTGGGGGCAAAAGGGCACAGCTGTGGAAATGAGAGTCAGGGCTACGAGTGTTCTGAGTGTGCAAGGCCAGACGAGAGTCAACCAAAGCAAAGCATGTATGGGAATGCTGGAAGGAAACCTGTGCTTTGTTAGCTAATTGAATAAAACACACCCAGAGGGAAAGAAGAGAAGAAAAGCATCCTGGTTAGAGCCACACAACCTTTGTCTCTGGTCAGGAGCAGGGTCCTCAGTCCTTAGGAAAGCGCACAGATTGCCTTGCTCCCACCATGTCCGCTAACACCTAAGTGAGTGCATGTTCCAGGGATCATTGCTTGAGAAGGGTGGGCATGTGGAAGGTGCTCTAACTGCAGCTGTGCACCCCATACACACGGCCCAGATCTCCTCATCTTGACACCCGGGATTCACTTCCAGCTTTGCCTGCAGCCTAGAGGTCAGTGTTTGGGATGTGATCCCCTCACAGTGGAATATGCCTTTGCCCTGTACCCTATTGCAGAAAGGCTATCAGAACCCTTCAAATTAACACCAGGTGTCCCCAGGCAAGATGTCCCAGGGAAAAGTCTCTGGAAATCCTTTCCAGACACTGCTCAGGAAGGAGCTAGTTCACAGCGAACTCCCAGGAGTGGGCAGGAAGGAGGTCCTTCCTCCCTTTCCTTGGCTTCTCACCTCCCTCTGAAGGAGCATTATCTGCTTCCAGAACTCAAAGTCCCTGGGAGAATTCTCATCCTGCCTTTCAAGTCACGCAGACTGTCTATAAAACCCAGCGATCCTTCCGTGTTCCCACGGTCGCCCTTGGCCATGTGCCATTGTCTGAGTCTGCATTAAGTGCAAGGACAGCTGTGTCCTGCCATGTTGGACTCTGTGACTATGAACAGGCCACTCCCCCTCAGGGCTTCAGTATTCTGTGAAATGAGGGGCAGGACCATGCTGGCTTCAACTGGAGGCTTGATGGGAGCCAGAGTTCTGGGTGGTCCAGAACCCAGTAGTCCATGCAGTTCTGCTTCTTTTGCAGCATGCATTGAATTCCAGTCTCTTCACTCCTGAGCCTCAGTTTCCCCGGGTGACAGCATGTCATGGAGTCCTCAGGTGAGGGTCTTGACCCAACCCCTATGCCCGTGTCTTTCTGAACCGCTCACCAGAGATCCCCACTAGAGATACAGAGTCTCTGTCATTCTCTGGATTTCTTTTTGGACGTGTCTTATGGATCGGTTTCCTCTGTGCTGGATGCTTTTGTGCCCAGGTAAGCCTCCAGGTCCCCTCGTCCTGGCCCTGCGGACTGTGCTTATGGGCTTTTAATCACCGAAGAATGTTAGTTAGTGTAATTAACGTGTTCTCATCTTCAGTCTTGGCCTGTGTCGTTTTCTGCCTCCCTCCACCTTGGTTCTCTCCTATTTTAACTTAGTGAGAAGAGCTCCTGTCTGCATCACCATAGCAACCAGAGTTGAGGGCCAATTAATCCATGACTGAGCCATTAGACACCTAAGCTGATTAAAGAGTCCAAAATATTGGCGAAAAGGAGACAAACAAGGCAGGTCCTGGCTGCAGCGATGTGAGGGGCACGGCCAGTGAATGCTGAAAACCCTCGCAACCTGGGCTCCAAGCTGTGGGCCCTTGTGTCATCTCTGTGCCCTGTGTCCTAGGCCTCCAAGCCAGGAAAGGTCACCTCTTCCCTTCTCAGGGCAACCATTCTGAATGAGTCCCTCTCAACCGGCCCCAAGCAGCAACTGGAATCTGCAGTGCTAAAGGCCATTCAGCGGGACAGACAGGGCAGTCACACAATTCACCCTGAGTCCTAATTTCTTGGCCCCTCCCTCACCTTCCCCGTTACTTTGTGGCATTTTCGCCAATGAAAGGACCTTTTGCAACTTGCTGGTCCCAAACATGTCCCCTGTTGTTCTGGTCTGTGTTTGTGCGTTTTTAATCCCACATGTACCAATTAGTGCAATTAAGACATTCAAATTATAATTGGACCCCCTTTCCTACGTGCCTAAGCCCCCGCCCAAGTTTCCTGCTGCCTTTCATTTCATCTACTGAATAAATCTCTTGCAGAATTGCCATAGCAACAGGCCACTGGGCAGATTAAACCATTATGGGTCTGGACACTGACACTCAAAACTGATTGTGGTTCTGGAAACTTGGATGGCTGAGCAAGAATCCTGGAATTCGGACAAGGAGGCTCATAGCTGGAGAGCAGAGGCAGCTCACCATCTCGGGCCTTGGTTCAAACCCCGACTCCTGACTTCATTCCGTCCCGTTTGCTTTGGTAGGGGAAGAATGAGACAACATCAGTTGTAGGTGGGGTGCCTGTTATTAAGTGTGATTGCCTGAATTAGGATGTCACGACATGACCCTTTGAATATCCCCCTCTAGGTATAACCTTACCCTTCTGAGCATGACCTTCCCTTTCATGTACCTAGTTTTCGTGATGAAGAGGGAGCTTATAGGAGCCCTTTTGGGAACATACTCGTAAAGTTGTATGTTTGACTTTGCCCCTGTTGTTGAACCTGCTAAGCCTGTTGGGCATCTCTTGCTCCCAGTAAGGTACCTTCCCTTGTTCTTAAGAGATGGCTGAGCAGGGAATATTCTGTACTACTCTTCTAGAGGACTTGAATCTCATTCTCAGAAACCATCTAGTATTTCACATCTACCTGTAACTTCAGTGCCATGGGATCCAACACCCTCTTCTAGCTTCTTTAGACAAACAATTGGAAAATACATTACTCCATGCAGATGTAAACACACGCGCGCTCACGCACACGCACACACACACACACAGAAAGAGAGAGAGATTTTTAATTAATATACCTGGCCCTTATAATGGGGTTGTTTTAGTGCCTATTCCCAACACTGGGTTCCACTAATAAAAGGACAGTGGTACCACCTGGATTGTGAGCAAGTGACAAATTCCTAATACAATGGCTTCTTCTGGGGAAAGCCAGCATCTCCTGTTTGGTTTAAGATTTCTGTTTACAGTGTACCTGGCCTGGTCTAGTACTGACAGTGTGAGTACCTGAAGTAGGGCACAGGAAGTGATCATAAAAATTCAAATGCATGAGGTTATTCTTTTCAGTAAAAGTTCCCCCTCCCTCTCAATACTACTTTCTATACTCGTAGGCTCCAGTTATTTGCACTAAGAGTAGAGCTCCTAGCCCCAGCAGAATTGCCATGGCAACCAGAAGCCAGAGTAGGAGATTGCTGCTGTCACTGAACATCAAAGCTTATTGAAGTGTATGTGGCAAAGGGTCTCACTTTCTAAAGGAAAATAACTCCCAGCTGGTGAGGAGTAGTCCTTTGGCCACCTCCCCCTCCCCGAAACACACACAGTCCGTGAGCCACCCCATCTTCCATGCCTGAATTTTGAAAAGAAGCAGAGCACATTTTCTTCCCCGTGAGCCAATGCATATGTTGGCAATAAAGTACTGCTTGCCCCCTACAATCGTTATTAAAGAAATATGTGAGGGGACATATGCTCTCAAGGTATGTGTCCATGGATGTGCACCTGTTTTTGGGAACTCTACTCGTTCTACTTGTATGCATTGCAGGTCCTGCCTCATCTGTTCTCCACACAGCATCTAATCCTCTGATGGCCACATCCTCATGATAAGGAGGTACAAGTAAAGGAAGCATCCCATGTATCTGAGTAAACACTCTGCTTGTCCTTTCATCACTTTGGATAACTGTCCACCCTCTGTCAACATCCAGCCTCGTATATGATCAACTAATTCCAAGCCTTTTGATCCAGTCAGTGCACAGCCCTAGCAATAATCCTGATGCTCCCTTCCACAAATGTACCTTTCTCTACTCAATGATTCCCACTGGCACATAAACTTTCTACAAAGCATCACATATTAAAATAAAGCAAAACAAAAATCCAGTGTTACCTTTAAAAATCTGTCTAGTTCAATGGGGGCTGACTGAGAAGCCATTGATAATGGCACTGGGACTTGTTTCTATTACATATACTTTGGGATCCTAGTCTGTATGGATGCACACCTTCCTAGGCCTGGATGGAGGTGGGAGGGCCTTAGACTTCCCACAGGGCAGGGTACCCTGCCCTCTCTTAAGACTGGAGGGGAAGGGAATGGGGGGAGTGGGGGAGCAGGAGGGGAATGGGAGGAGGGGAGGAAGTGGAAATTTTGAATGGAAAATAAAATTAAAAAAGAAAAAATCTGTCTAGTATATCATCTCTTCTCTGTTTGCTCTTTATCAAAGATTGTTGTGCATTTTTTATTTTTCTTATTTTTTATTTCTGATTTTTCTTGAAAGAAACTTTCTATATCTTTGAATAACAGCTTATTGAAGCTATTCACCCATTTTAATATAATAGTTTTATTAATTCTTTGAGCATTACATATATACAAAGTATTTTGATCATATTAACCCCACTGCTCCACATAACTCTTCCCAGATATACCCCATCTCTATACCTTCCCATGGCACAACTTTTTAAAAACATGTTTATTAAATTATTTTCATTTATTCTACATACTGACCAGTTTCCCCTCCTGCCTATCTTTCCATTTCCTCCCCTGCTTCCCTTCTACTTCCTGTCCATGCACCCCTCCTCTGTCTCCATTTAGAAAGGGCAGGCCTGCCCTGAGAGTCAGCATAGCATGGAACATCAAGTTGAGGCAGGACCAAGCTCCTCCCCCTGCATGGGGCAAGGCAACCCTGTTTGACGGTTGGGTTCCCAAAAGCCAGTTCAAGTGCCAGGTACAGATCCTGTTCCCACTGCTAGGAGTTCCACAATCAGAGAGACAGGAAGGATTGTGTGAGTCAGGGGTCCTGAGCTCATGGGAGCTCACAGACTCTGAACCGACAGCTAGGGGACCTGCATGGGATTGACCTAGTCCCTCTGCATGTGTGAGACAAACAATGTATGGAAGGAAAAAGGTATCTTGATTCTCAATTTCACTGATTTTGGTCAATGGCCAGCTGGCTCATTTGCTTTCAGGCTGTGATAAAGCAGACCACTCTAGCAAAAAGCATCTAGTAGAGAAAAACGGCTCACATCATGGTGGATAGAAAGAAAGGAATAGAAAGGGAATAAGGACAAGACACACTCTTCAAAGCATGCCCTCACTGACCTATTTCTTCCAGAGCCACCATCTGACAGTGTGCACCTCTCAGCAGACTCACCAGTTAGGGAACAAGTCTTTAATATGTGAGCCTTTTGGGTGGATTCTTCACATTCAAATGATAACAGCTTCTGCCTTCTAACACTGCCTGCCCTTCATGTTTCTCCTGTGTGCCATGACTTCACCTGGGTTC